TTTTCTGAAGAAGGGTCCAGACCCGAAACGTCAGCTTTCCTGCTCCTCTGATGCTGCTTGGCCTGCTGTGTTCATCCAGATCTACACCTTGTTATCTCAGATTCTCCAGCATCTGCAGTTCCTACTATCTCTCTCTCAGCGGTCTGTTAGCTTATGGAATTCCCCTTGTGTGGTGGCTGTGTCATTGAATTTAATCAAGGCTGAGTTATAAAGATTGTTGATTGATGAGGGAGATAAGGGTAGGGTGCAGACAAGAAAGTGGAATTCCATGATCAGTCATGATCTTATTGAATGACTGGCTTTAAGACCCAAATGGCCTGCTCAACTCTTGAGTCCAGATCTTGCTATTCCTTTGCTTTTACGGACTAAGCTAAGTACACCACACAATGTCTTATCTTGCGCAGGCAGGCGCTGTGGAACAGTTCGGCTACTATTAGAAATGAAATGACTGTAGGTTGGGATAAAAAAAAATTGCCTCAGCTACAATGAGCAGAATAAACCTGTGCCCCACTACAGGAAACTCCCTGACCAAAGCACACGTGAGAGTGAAAATGTGATTAATATTGAGGCAACATTGAGCTGCTCTTGAGGAAAAGCCTCACAGCCTAATGACTTCCGCCATTAACCTTTTCACTTCTTCTAAGGCTTGTCATCAGTCACTGCCCTATCAGTCATTCCCTCATGGATTAGACAAAAGGCAGTGGAGCGTTAAAGACCAATCTCTTCATGGGAAATGGCCATCATCAATCATCATTAGCTTATCATAATCAATGAAAGCTCGCATTTACTCACCAGGGTCTCACTCAGTAGTTCATAATCAAAGATCTCCATCTCGTACTGTTCTGCCAGCTCCTTGCAGAGATGAATGGCTTCTTCCCACATCTGTTCACAGCAAGCAGCAAATAAGTAGTGTGACACATTGAAATGATCCATCTGTGCTACATTGCAGCATGTCAATGCAATTTCTTCTATTTAAGGGGCTTTGCTTGCCAAGTTCTCCCTGTCCACCCCCTTTAACAGGAATAATACAGTAACCTTATGAGAAGGCCAGTTAGCCCGTTAGTCACTCAACTAAATTGTAGTAGATCTAGATCTCCACGCCAATCCACAGAATCACAGAATGGTTACAGCAATGCAGGAGGCCATTTGGCCAGCCATGTCTGTGTGAGCTCTGTGCAAAAGCAATTGAGTGAGTTCCACTCCCTTACCTGTTCTCCTTAGTCTTGAAAAGTTGTCCCCTTCAGTTGCTTACTAACTCCTTTATGAATTAAGGTTTGAAATTTGCCTCCACCACCACCTTTGGAAGTGCATTACTGACCTGAAACTCACATTGTGTAAGTTATCCTCCCATTGCCTTGGGTTCTTTTGCCAATCACCTCAAATTAATGCTCTCCAGTTTTCCATCCTTACACCAATGGGAACAGTTTCTCTCCATCCTCTTTAAATATTCTCCCCACAATGGTTTTGAATCTCCTTCTCTGTCTTTGACCCATAGCCTTTGATAGCCCGACTCAACAATACTCTACCCTTCTCCATTTGAATTTGTCCACGTCCTCATTTTGTTTTAGCAGGGGTAGCGATGTGCTTCCGACTTTCACTGTCCATTTGCGTGGAAGGAATGCTTCCTGCTGTTGAATGGCTTGGTTCTAAAGACTCTACAGTGCTGAGTTAAATAGGTAATAAACACTACGTATATTAACCCACACAAAGGAACACAATTTGTCCATATTGCTTGACCATGAAAATCAACAAGGTTTTTGACGTTGCTTTTCATTGAATGTCTTGTCACAGAGTCACAGAGTCATACAGCACAGAAACAGAGTCTTCGGTCCAACCAGTCCATGCCGAACGTAAACCCAAACTGAACTAGAGCCACCTGCCTGCTCCTGGCCCATATCGCTCCAAACCTTTCCTATTCATGTACTTATCCAATTGTCTTTTAAGCTCACATCCACTACTTCCTCAGGAAGTTCATTCCAACTGGCGAACCACCCTCTGTGTAAAAAAATTGCCCCTCATATCTTTTCTAAACCTTTCTCATCTCACCTTAAAAATGTGCCCCCTAGTCTTGAAATCCCCCATCCTAGAGAAACGACAACTACCATTAACTGTATCTATACCTCTCATTATTTTATAAACTTCATTAAACGGGAGATGCTGAGTAATGTTAAGGAATAAAAACACTCCCTCCCTAAAGCTATGGAAGACTCTCTTCACTGTGTCATTACCATCACCATGAAGATAGTAGCGGTTGAGTAAGGGGAGACAATTATCTTTAAGCTAAGCTCAATCTGTTACATACCATAATTATTTCATGGGATATGGTCATTACTGGCTATAGGAGCATTTGATGCCAATCTATTATTGTCCTTGAGAAAGTGGTGCTGAGACATCTTGGGCAACTGCAGAGCTTGTGGTGTGGGAATACCCACAATACGGTACAGCGAGGCAGTTCCAAGATTTTGACCCTGGAACAGTAATATACTACCAACTCAGGAGGGTATGTGACTTGGAGACCGAATTACAGAACCATTACAGCATGATAATTAGAAGCAGAGTTAGGCCATTCGCTCTCTCACACCTGCTCCATCATTCAGTCAGATCACACCTAATCTGATTACTTACAATTCTGCCTACCCCTGATTACTATCACCCCCTTACTTATCAACATTGAATTACGTCAGCCCTAAAATATTACTGAAATACTGTTTCTATCGCCTTTGAGGAATTGTTCAAAAGACTCACAACTCTTTAAGAGATAAAACTTCTCCTCCGTCTTTTCTTGGTGTTCCCTTACTTTTAAACAATGACACCTACTTCCAGGTTCTCCCAAAGAGGACACATCCTCTCCACATTCACCCTGTCACAACCTCACAGGATCTTAGGGATAGTAAGAACTGCCGATGCTGGATCTTATTTGTTTTAATCAAGTTGCCACTTCCTCTTCTAAACATCGACGGAATCAGGCCTTCAACCTTTCCTCATAAGAACATAAGAACTAGGAGCAGGAGTAGGCCATCCGGCCCCTCGAGCCTGCCCCGCCATTTAATAAGATCATGGCTGATCTTTTTGAGACTCAGCTCCACTTACCCGCCCACTCACCATAACCCTTAATTCCTTTACTGTTCAAAAATTTATCTAGCCTTGCCTTAAAAACATTCAGCAAGGTAGCTTCAACTGCTTCACTGGGCAGGGAGTTCCACAGATTCACAACCCTTTGGGTGAAGAAGTTCCTCCTGACCTCAGTCCTACATTTGCTTCCCTTTATTTTGAGGAGATGCCCTCTAGTCCTCGTTTCACCTGCTAGCAGAAACAACCTCCCTGCGTCCACTTTATATATTCCCTTCATAATCTTATATAATTCTCCCCTCATTCTTCTGAATTCCAATGAGTATAATCCCAGTCTACTCAGTCTCTCCTCATAATCCAACCCTTTCAATTCTGGAATCAACTGAGTGAATCTCCTATGCACCCCCTCCAGTGCTAGTATATCTCTTCTCAAGTAAGGAAACCAAAACTGCACACAGTACTCCAGGTGTGGCCTCACCAGGACCCTATACAGCTGCAGCATAGCCTCCCTGTTTTTAAACTCCATCCCTCTAGCAATGGCAGACAAAATTCCATTTACCTTTTTAATCACCTGCTGCACCTGCAATCCCACCTTCAGCGATTCATGCACAAGGACACCCAAGTCCCTTTGCACAGCAGCGTGCTGCAATTTTTTACCATTTAAAACATAGTCCATTTTGCTGTTACTCCTACCAAAATGGATGACCTCACACTTAACAACATTGTACTCCATCTGCCAGACCTTTGCCCACTCACTTAGACTATCTATATCCCTCTGCAGACTTTCAGTATCTTCTGCACACTTTGCTCTACCACTTACCTTATTGTCATCTGCAAATTTTGACACACCATACTTCGTCCTCAACTCCAAATCATCTATGTAAATTGTAAACAATTGCGGTCCCAACACTGATCCCTGAGGCACACCACTAGCCACTGACCGCCAACCAGAAAAAAACACCCATTTACCCCTACTCTTTGCTTTCTACTGGTCAACCAATCCTCTATCCATGCCAATACATTACCTGTAATACTGTGCAACTTTATCTTATGTAGCAGCCTTTGGTGTGGCATCTTGTCAAATGCCTTCTGGAAATCCAGATACACCACATTCACAGGTTCTCCATTGTCCACCATGCAAGTAATGTCCTCAAAGAATTCCACCAAATTAGTTAAACATGACCTACCCTTCATGAACTCATGCTGGATGTTCCCAATGGGACAATTTATATCCAGATGTCTTGCTATTTCTTCCTTAATGATAGATTCAAGCATTTTCCCCACTACTGAAGTTAAGCTAACTGGCCTATAGTTACCTGCTTTTTGTCTACTTCCTTTTTAAGCAGTGGCATCACATTGGCTGTTTTCCAATCTGTGGGAACCATCCCACTAAGACAACTAACTTATTCCTGACATCACACAGCAAGTCAAACAACATCTGAAGAAAAGGAGAAGTCAACATTTCAGGTATTACCCTTCTTCAGTCCTGGCTTGCTGTGTTCTTCCAGCCTCCTGTTTGTCTACCTTAGATTCCAGCAACTGCAATTTTCTTTTGTCTCATTCCCGATATTAGTCTAGTAAACCCGTCTCTAGTGTATTTTCAAGCTTCCCTAAATAAGGTAACCAATACTGCGCACAGTATTCCAGACGCAGTCTCACCAACGCTCTGTAAATCTGAAACATAAGCTTCTTAACCTTCGTATTCAATTCCCCTCACAATAAATGATAACATTCTAGAAGCTTTTCTGATTACTTGCTATATCTGCATACTTTCTGTGACACCGAGGATAGCCAAATTCCTCTGCATTACAGAGCTCTGCACTCTTTCACCAGATGGATAAAACGCTTCTATTTTTATTCTTTCTGCCAAAAGAGATAGTTTCCCATATAATACCCTAATGGCCAGATCATTACCCAATCACTTATATTTATTTAATTTGTTCATGGAGGTGGGGCATCACTGGCAAGGCCAATGTTTATTGTTCATTCCTAAGGCAGTTAGGAATCAAACACATTGCCTTGGGTCTGGAGTGGTGTGTGGGCCAGACCAGGTAAGGATGGCAGATTTCCTTCCCTGATGGGCATTCATGAAAGAGATGGGATTTTACAACAATTAACGTTGGTTAAATGGTTGCCAGAAAACCTGCCTTGTTAAAAAAAACACAAATAAATTCAAAATTTCACCATCTGCTGTGGTTAGATTCATGTGGAGAGAGTATGTTAGCTTTGGCTGTTAAGTTACAAGTCCAATGGTAACACCACTAAAATATCTTCGCACACCTCTTTTGTCCTCTTCACAACTTACTTTCCGACCTATCTTGGTATCATCAGTATTCTTGGCAACATAGCTTCAGTCCCTTCATCCAAACTATTTCTATAAATTGGAAATTGCTGTGGTCCTAACCATGAGCTGCTTGATACCACAACTCTCAAGAGTGTCTGGATATTCAAAGACGATGCATAGGTTTCAGTCAACAATTATAATGAACAAAAAAAGATTCTAAATGTTTCAGATAAAATAAGTGAACCAGATAATAAATGCTACAAGCTCAGCAGGTGTTTCGCAGAAAATTAAGGAAATCTTGTGTGTCCTTACATCCTTGAATGTTCAACTGAAATGTACTTCAGAGCTGTCAGTGAGAGCCTGGTTGTTTCCAACATGGCTCACATTGTGATAACATGGCTTGGTTTTCAGTCCACAGCTTGATATTGTGATAAAACTTCACTGGAGGGCTCCTCTGTTTGTACAATCATAAAATCCCTACAGTGTGGAAGCAGGCCATTTGACACGAGTCCACACCAACCCTCTGAAG